AGCTGAGACCCCTGGGGTGAGGGAGGGAGCAGGAGAGGATCTGAGACCCTTGGAATGAGGGAGGGAGCAGGGGAGGAGCTGAGATCTCTCTGGTCCAGGGAGAGGGTCAACTCCTGGGAGAGAGGAGGGACCCATCCCACCTAGGGAGGGAGCAGAGAAAGAGCCAAGACACCCCAGGGTTGAGGGTGCCTGAGAGAGGGGGGCACACCCCCCCAAGGGAAGCCAAAGAGAGAGCCCCAGGACAGAGAGGGGAGGCAGCAGGGAGACCCCAGAAAAGGTGGGCATTGGGGGATTTGGGATGAGGAGGCCAGAAAGGCTGGGGAGGGGGAATCTCCAGCTCCCTGCAATCCTGCCTCCCATGGGTTTCACTGTGGGTGATCTTGGGTGAGACACCTCATGTCTGTGGGCCCCAGCGTCTTCCTCTGTAGAATGAAGGGGTTCCTCTGGATTTTGTGTGGACTGGGGGAAGGGCAGGGGGATAGCCTACAGGGAGCCCTGGCTTGGGCAGAGTCTCCAGGTTCAGGTCCAGCTCTTGGGCTTGCTCTCCTGGGAAGCAAGATTGAAGGAGCCTGGAAGTGGGGGGTGGGGGACAGGGGCCGTAACAGAGCCCACCCAGGTCTCCCAGGACTGTCAGAGGGCCAGGGCATGGTCAGCCTAGAAAACAACTGGGAAGGGGCCCTTGGCTTCTTGTTAGAGATGGGAACTTGGTTGGGGAGGGGCTCAGAGGGGCAACTTCCTGTTCCCAGCCCTTCCCAGCTGGAAGGTGCACATCCCAGCTCAGTCCCAGGCTGCTCAGTCCCCTCCACCTTCGGTTTCCTGGGCCTTGTTTGTGCTGAGAGCTGGGAACGGGACTTCGCTGCTTCCTGCCCATTGGCTGGGCCAGGGGGGGGGGGGGGGGCTGGGCCCCAGGCCAGGGAAGGTCTCAGAGGTGACTCTGGTCTGCTTTCCCAACCCTCGGTCCCCAGGACTGTTCTGGTCTTTCCAGTTCCTTGGTGCTTGAGCTTTTTCTGGGCTGGAAAGGAACAGGAGTGCTTGGTGGGGGCGGGGAGGGTCTGAGTTCCAGGGCTGCCTCCTCCCCTCACTGGCCACAGCCTCTCTGAGCCTCCTCAGCTGGCCGAGTTGTTGAAGGGGAGGAGGTGCTCTGGTCCTCTGGGGTCTCTTAGGCTGTGTCTGAAAGTGTCCAAGGCCGGGGGGGGGGGGGTCTCCGGGGGGGGCTGGGGAAATGGGGCTGACCGTGTACATTGAGTTTGGGTCGGCTGCTACAGGTTGCCCTGATCCTCCATGGGCACCAAAGGCACAATATCTAGCCACTGACCTAAGGTGGGCTCATTAGGAAGCAAGAGCCCATCTGTGGGACTGACAGGCATTTACCGAAGGACTTTTCTGCTTAGGACCCTTTATCTTTTGCTTCTTAGACAGGGATGCCCCGGCCTTTCCCAAAAGTGCCTCCCTGTTGTCATGTTAAGTCTAATGTATCACCTCCTTCTTGCATTTTTAAGATCCACAAATCAATAAAGTGAATTTTTAAAACATAAGACAATCCTTTGTAAGCCTTAAAGCAGTATAGGAATGTGACCTGGCATCTCCTGCTCCCCTCAGCTCATGAGACAGGCATCACCGGGAAGTGAGCAGTAGCTCCGATGGGGAGGGGGCTGGGCTAGGCATGGGGCTGACTCTGCCTGAGCTTCCCTACCCTGATTCCCAGTGACCCGAAACAAATGAGTGTGAACTGGAGGTTGGCTGGGGAGGTGTGGCTGCACACTCAGTCTCTGTGTCCCCGAGGATAGTAGGTGATGGTACAAGGTGGTTAGCACAGGCCCTGCCCTGAACCACCGTTGGACCTCGTCTTCACCGCGTGGTGAGAGCCTGTCCGTTCCCGCTCAGCCCCAGGGTCTTGGTCAGCATGCAGAGCCACCCAACATCTGTCCTCCATCCAGAGGCTCCACTGTCCTGGCCAGTTGTCTGGTGCTGACTCTTTCTTTTGGCACAGCCTTTCTTCTCATCCTTTGAATACCCTCTGTTACCACCAGAACATTAGGCCTTTGACCTTCTGTGGGCAAGTCGCGTAACTCTGAGCCTCAGTTTCCTCATCTATAAAATGGGGATAAGACTTTTAGCAAATCTGCCTCGCAAGGTTGTTGTAAAGACTCCAGATAATATGTGTCAGGTGCTTTACAAACGTTAGAGATGGCCTTTGTCCCCTTGCGCCAGGTGTGAGCTATGCCTGGCCTTGGAAAGGTGTGAGGATGTACTGAGGTGATGGATGGAAACATGCCCAGGAGAGCACCTGTTTGAGGCAAAGAGACGAGACTGACCAGGTTACACATGAATGCCAGTGTGGCTGATACCAGAACCCAGCCACTATCCCAGCCAACTGAGCTGAGTTTGCTCTAAGGGCCTGAAAAAGGTCCCGGGCCAGGCACTGGGAGGCAGCCATAGGGAAGGCCATTGTGAAATGGCCTGGTGTGGGCAAGGTTGGCTGCTGGGGCTGTCCCAGAGTAGAGCTGGTCGGGAGCCTGCTGGCCAGAACTGTGTCTCCTCGGGACTGTCTGGGCTGGAGCGGGCTTGCCCTCACGGCCTTCCCATCTGCATAGTTATTAAGCATTTCCCATGTGCCATGAACCCTGCTAAGCATTGCAGATGCACATATCAAAAGAAAGTCTCTTCTTTCCGAGGGCTTCTAATCTAATGGGAGCCGAGGCTGCTGAACAGCAGGGATGGGGAAGGTCCCTGGCCTCGGGGGCATGATGTAGAAGGCCAGCAGAGAGCAGCTCAGTGGACAGTGCAAAGACAGCTGGGCCAGTGGCCTTCACAGACGCATGACCATGGGGATGATAATAGGACCTTCCTCCCAGGGTTGTTGTTTAGAGCTAGAAGGAAGGAAACAAGTATTTGTTAAGCACCTACTATGTGCTAGGCATTGGGCTGATCACTTTACAGAGATTCCATTTGGACTTCCCTGCGTCAATCCTGGTAGGGAAAGTACTATAATTATCACCTATTTACAATTGAGGAAACTGAGGCAGGCAATATAAGTGACTGGCCTAAGGTCACACAGTTAGCAAACATAGATGGCTAGATTTGAACTCGGGTCTTCCGGAGTCTGGGTTCAGCATTCTATCCACTGCACCCCTGAGCTCTTAAGAACCTCCCAGGACTCCACCTCTTTAATTTTATAGATAAGGAAACAGTTCCAAAGAAGTTATAAGGATTGGCCACTGTCACACAGGTGAGGCAGCTGGTAGTACAGTGGTTAGTGCACTGGGTCTGGA